TCCTTCATCCAAGGAACCTCAAGGGCTGTGTGCATCATAGCAGTTTGACTCCTGCATTTTCATTGACAGTTATCAGTCTTATACTGTTTTTCTTTGCATCATTTTGGAGCTATTGAAGTATTATTTCATGGGCCTTTGTTATTTTTAAAAGACCTTTCATTTCATGATTACTTGCTGTGATCCTATCTTCAAGGACTGAAAAATCTATCTTCAGTTTCATTCAAGCAGTTTTGGCAGATTTCAGTGAAATTTTTAATTTTCTGACTATATCATCGAATCTGTTTCATGCATGCTATTTCTTTCCTATAATGTTCACTCAAGGTTTCCATTATTTTTCCATGCTTCTGAATTTTGAAAAATCTATGTTTTCTCTAGCTATGCTGAGCAATTCCTTCATTCAGGTTGTCATTTCTTTTTTGTTTTTATCTGAAAGATTATTTATGATTGGATTTCCTCTATAGCCTTATGGATTTGTTTCTTTACTTCACTTTCTATCTTTTCAGAAATTTCAGGTGTGTATCTCCCAATTTCTTCTATGTTGATGTCTCCTGTACTTGTTCTGGTTGGGCTGGATATCTGAAGTTGCATTTTGTTTTTTGTCTTGTCATTTTTACTTCTTGGTTCTTATTTGAGTCTTTTTAATCTCGTTAGTCCCACTTGTCTGTCATGTGCATCTTAGTCAGGGTCCTACATGTGACTGGCATTCACCCAGTTGCCAGGCCCCACAATGTAGGGCAGGAGACCCTCACCTGAATTACTCCTGCAGGCCAGTTAGATGAGTCCTGGATTCTTGCCAGTTTGACTAGCCTAAGAGTATGAATGTGAACCAATCCTTAACTCATATTATTACTACAGCTTTCGACTTTGCCAGGACACCAGACCTGTAAGTCCATAGTGTGCACCCCAGCTGGTACCATATTGTGTCGCTGGGGGTTTCACAGGCCCAGCTATGTTAGTCTGGCTGGAGGAAGGGGTCACCAACACTTGCATTCTCATAAAGTTCCTCCAGATGGAGGGAGTGGTCACCTGAATTCTCATCCATCTTCTCATTATGAGGAGACAGGTCACTGGTACTCTTGCAGGCTGCCTGGGGTCCTCTGGTTGGAGGTAGAGCTTACCACACTCTCACAAGCCCACCTGGGCACATCTGAGTGGAGAGAGATGTCACCTGTATTCTTGCCAGTTCCCTGATGTCCTCTGGATTGCGTAAAGTGTCACCTGGACTGTCACTGGCCTCATCGAGTTAGAGTGAAGGGTCACCAGTGCTCACCCTTTTGACTCTTAATTGCAAGGGTTTGAGTCTATTCTTTCCTCTTTTTGACAAGATTGACTAACAAGTCAATTTCATTTAATTTTTCAAAGAACCAACTATTCAATTCATTGATTGTTTATATTGTTTTCTTAGTCTCCATCGCATTAATTTCTGCTCTGATTTTTGTAATTTCCCCTCTTTTACAAGATTTGAGATTGACTTATTCTTCTTTTTACGGAGATTTGAGGTTTTTTAGGTTATTTCTTTGTGCTCATTGCATTTCCTGATTTGAAGATACACCACTATAAATTTCTCTGATAGGGCTGCTTTCATTTTGAGCCATAAGTTCTTTTACATTGAATTGGCATTATCATTTAATTGTAGATACTGCTTACTTTTCTTTTTAATTTCATCTTGATGCATTGGCTGTTTGGTAGGGTGCTACTTAACTTTCATGCATTTATGGAATTCTCTTGGTTTCCTTTGCTATTGACTTGCAATTTCATTGCATAATGATCTGATAATAAACATGAGATAATTTCAATTCTTTTACATTTACTTAAATTTCTTCTATGGGCTAATATGTGGTATCTTTTGGAGAAAATCCTATAAGTAGCTGAGTTGAATCTGTAATCTGCTGTGGGGTGGAACACTCTTTAGGCATCTGCTAACTCCATTTCTTCATAGGTTTGACTAGTACTACTATTTCTTTGTTGATTTTTGTCAACTTGATCTGTTTGTGACTGTGGGGTATTGAGGTCCCTTGCTACAACTGTGTTAGTGGTTATTTGATTTTTTATGTATGTTTTTATATTTGTTTTATACAGTTGGGTATGGCAGAATTTAGTATATGCACACTACTGTTGTCTCTTCTTGAGGCTTTCCCTTAACAAGTACATAGTAGCCTTCTTTATCTCTCTTCATCAGTCTTCACATGAAGTTCAGGATGGCTGCAAGTAGAACAGCTACTATTTTCTGGGTTTTTTCACATGAGGTATTGTTTTCTGTCCTTAGACTTTCAGTCTATGAATTTCTTTTTGAGTTAAGTGTGTTTCTTTTATGCAGCACATTGTTGGATCCAGTTTCTTGATGCATCTTGCCAGTGTATTTCTTTTGTTTGATAAATTATTACATCGATGGATATAACTGATATGTATTGTCTTATGCTTATCACGTTACTTTCCCGTTTCTTGTTCCCTGTCTTTCCTCTCTGTTTAATTGCCTTCTTGAGGGATTCTTTCTATTGATATTCCAAAGAACTTACTTACTACAGCACTGAGTTCTGATAATATAATGTATACATGCTTAAAATTCCACTTTTGGGAAAAAGAACCAGGATGTATCATGTACAGATACAAATGCCCTATAATGAGTGTGATTACAATATATACCTAAATTATACCAATAAACTTTTTTAAGAAGGGAAAGATTGCACTTTTGTCATAAGATGTTCACAAATTTAATCACATGCTAAATTTTTTCTTCCAAGGATAATGCCTGGTTTATTCTGTAACACTTTTGACAATTTAAAGATGGAAGGACCAGAACCATAATGTCTCTGGATCTTAATATTGTATAGCCACTGAGACAAACCCTCTCTTTCAAAATGAAGCTAAGATATACATGACATGTATGTATTAAATATTTTCTGTCTTGACATTATAGGAGTCAAATGTGTACTGTCAAAGAGAAGTTTTTTCTCTACATATTTTGAAAGATAAAAATTGTTTTGCATGAGAAAAACCATGGGGAAAACTTATCATCTGTGAGGCTTAAAATATTCACCTATCTTTTGAATTTTTGGAATATATTGATTATCTTTTAAAAAAGATATGTAAATATCAATCTAATTAGAACTTTAAAAGAAAGTAATTCTTATGTTCATTTAACACAGCACACAAATCTAACATGAATGGCACAGCAACAAATCACAAATATAATGCCCAAGCCAAGCATGGTGGTGCATGCCTGTAATCCCAACTTTCAGGACATTGAGACAGAAGGATTGTTGTGAGTTCAAGAACAGCCTGAGCCATAAAGTAAGCTAAGTCCAGCCTGAACTGCATCATGAGACTTTGTTTCAAAAAAGACCAAAAGAAACTATTGTGCCCAAAAACATTACAACCTTGACCTTTATGCTATTGAACAAGGGAAAGTGAGTGTTTTTTTCTTTTTCACTTTGAGACTGAAGCTTACAAAGCTATCTAGACTTAGGTCTAACTTGAAAACCTCCTGCCTCAGCTTCCAAAAGTGCAGGGACTAGAGACATGTGCACCCATGACTTGGTGATGATACTTTTCAACATGATCGAGAGCAATGGAGATGGAGAGATGGGCTGGGAGTAAAGAGGGGATCGGGAGAGTGGCAGGCTCTGATGGCTGCAGATTTGCTCATATTCACTTCCTTTCTTATCATCCAACTGAGTTGCAGTAGGCTGCATGTTACCTGAGACATCACTGCCTTGCCAAGATGCTGGCCAGGACCCCACTGTGGAAGTGCCTACCTCTCTGACAAGTCTAGAGTTAGTCATCTCAGGAACATTTCTGAGACTAAGCTTGAGTCATTGAGGTCCATGGACCAAGGATATTACCAGAAGGCAAGAATTGATCTCAAAGATCTCTCAAGCACAAGACAAAATCGGGGCACTCAGTAACTCAAAACAAGTGATGTACATATTAGCAGAGTACAGCTCATTTTGTCCCAGCCTAGAGTATGCTGCAAGCTCAATTATAGCTTCAACACCTGGGCCCATGGACCTGGCTCCAGATATCCAACTGCTGGGCTCACAGGAATGGTCAAGTCCTTCAGAGGCCCTTCTGCGCAGCATGCTTCTACTAACTGTTTGGAAATGTAGAAGACAAGAGGGGCTCCAGGGCATATCCTGGGGCTTCTGTGGAGGCTGGGGGGTAGGCTCAAGGCAAACATCCTGATCTTCCCGGTACAGAATGTCCACTATGTGCTACCATAGACAGCAATGATGAGTACAGAACAAGGAAGCAGCACAGCAGCCTGTTAGGGCAGAAATCTGCACTTTCTCCTCTTTTTCTTATTTTCTTTTTCTCCTTCTTTTGTCCTGTTCATTTTTTGTCCTCTTTTGTTCTTCTTTTTCATCTTCATCTTTTTCCTCTTCCATACTCCCTCCCCTTACCCTTTGTCTTCCCCTACTCCTTTTCCTTCTCCTGATGTTATTACTTTGGAATCTTCTGACAGCTTCTCAATGTCATTGAATACGGACTTGAACTCACTATGTAGTCTAGGTTGACCTCAAATGGATGGAAATCCTGCTCAGACTCCTAAATGCTAAGGTTACAGGCTTGCTCCAATATGGCTGACCCATTCTTTTTTCCTTGGGAGAACAGCAAGGGGACCTTCCCCACATAGTCTCATCCCTAGCATACAGGGTCAGACCCAAGCTGCTGAGCAAGGGACAATGAGATAAAGGGAAGAAGTGCAGCAAACATGTAGACCATGCATTGCACCTGTGACTACTGACTCTGGGAATGTCCTTCTTGTGACCTATCTTTCTCTACTTTGCATAATCCTGACCGAGGGGAAGGTGCTGACATTTCCCATGAAATTCTAACTAAGTTGCTGGCAATTGACACACTTCCTGGATTTAGCAAAGGATGAATTATCCCACCAGAGAAGGGACTGAAGCCAGGTATCCTATAAATAGCTCCTCCTTGGCCCTCTCAGCACTCATCTTCCTTTTCCCACAACTCCCAGGTTCGACAGGTGCTCTGACATCATGGCTCTGCATCTCCAAAGTGTGGTCCTCATCCTTCTGGTAGTCATTCAGACCAAGGCTGAAGGTGCTTCTCCTAACAGGAAACCATCGCTGCTCAATGTTCCACTACAGCCAGACTTCCAGGATGACCAGGTAAGGGCATGGGAAGGCCAGATACAGGGTGGGTCTATGGGACACAGACAATGGGATGACAAGAGAGAACGACCAAAGGTTTCAGAGGCAGGGCTCAGGGAAACAAGGCCCAGAGCATGTCAGGTGGGGTCATCTCCACAGCCAAGAAAACCTAGGCTCTAGAAGGCACACATGCTACTGGATCAGGATCACGCCATCATGAAAATTCAAAGCTACCTATTCATTCAGAGCCCACCCTAATCCTAGGTGACCCAAGCCAATGCCCATTTCTCACCAAAGAGCAATCCCTGGGCTCAGCTGCCCAGGGAATTGCCCAGAGACATCAGGAAGGGCAACATGGAATGGGTACCTCCGGGAACATCCCTGGTCTCTGCCTTTAATCAGCCCCTTACAGTTCCAGGGCAAGTGGTATGCTGTGGGTGTGGCAGACAACACAATTCAAAATGGAAATGAAAGAAATTTAACCATGTACAGCATCAACTACGAGCTGAAAGCGAACCACAGCTTCAACGTGAACACCACGCTGCTCAGGTGAAGCCACTACCTCTACCTCCTGAGGGTCCGATAGGAAGTCGAATGTCACAGTCAAGGGGTGACCAAAACTAAGGGGTACTGTCATTCATCTCACCACTCTGTACCCCATCTTCCTCCTCTTTCATCAACATGCACGGGTGGCTCCAGCACAAATATACAGTCGTTAGAAACAAGACAGAGGATATGGTGTCCCAGAGGGAAGGAGGGACCAAGGCCTCCCTTTAGGGCTTGGAGGAAGTGACTCCAAAAGAACCAACCACCTTATAATGCTAGCATGGTCAGCTCCAGAGACTGAGACATGAAGATCACAAATTTGAAGCAGCCTTGGACCACGTGGCGAGTCTTGCATCAACGTAAATATTTTAAAAAGTGTTAGTGATGTACCTAAGTGCAATAGTCCTGGGGTTCAGTCACCAGTATAAGCACCACACCAACAAAACAGGAGATATGGGGATCACAGCAAGGGCCTTGAGTCAGAGTGCCTCTCCTAAGGAGGCAGCAAAGCACTGAGCCACCAGTGTAGCCATCCAACCAGGGGCTCATGAGGAATGCTGAGGGAAGCATTTACAAATCAGTTTCTGGGGCATCCTATCTGAGGCAGTGTATTCAGCTCCTGCCAAGACCCAGGATCTGAGTACAGCTTTAGCAGAGGAGGAAAGGTATGAAGGTGTGGCTGTGCTGTTCCAGTTCAGAGATGACAGAGTGGGTACGATGAGGACTAGGAGGGCAGAACCTGGGTTCTTTTGCTTGTAACACCTTCTGGCTGTAGGCACCGGTTGGACTGAAGTTGGATCATCTGAGGATTTAGGGTCACAGTGAAGACAGGACTTAGGGGCTTAGCTATGGCGTGCAGGGGTGGTATTCCCAGGATCTTTTACTTACAATGAATTCTGGCTCTGGTCACTGGGTAGATTGGGGTTAAAGCAATCTTGAGGGTTGAGGGTAACATATATGTTATGGGGTCCAGGGATTGGGTGCACTCATGGAAAGATCAGGTAGCATTGTGAATTTCACAGTAAATACCAGGAAATGATAATGAGAAGCAGCAGACAAGAAGAGGTCACAGTTCCTGCCTGGGTTCTTTGCTCCCTCTCCTGGGAGCAGGTAGCAGAGGAGACAGTGAGGTCTGGAGAGGCTCAGCAGCCCCTGCAACAGACCAGACAGAGGCTCAGTATCAGACCCAGAGGTATGGACTGGTCTGACATGTAGGTCCCCTGGCATGGTGGGGGACAAGCTGGCATGGACTCATCTGGAGTAGGGCCTCAAAATCCATTGTAACCTTGGCTACACTTTCTCCAGACCATGAAGATCCATGGGGACAACCCCCTTCTCAGATCCCTCTATTTCTTGCTCACAGAGACCAGGTCTGTCAACACTCCACAAGAACTCTTGTCCAATATGAGGAGCCAGGCCAGTTCACTTTCGACAGTTTCATGAGTGAGTCCTGAGTGGTGGACGTGGTGGTGTGGTGGATGTTGGGATTCAGGTGCAGAGTCTCTACCCAGATGCTCCTCTGTGGACAGCCACCTATCTTAACTGGTCAGCCAAGATGGGGACAGTCCTGTCATCCCAGTCAGAGCAGGAATGACCCTCTCCATTTACACTGCAGTGAAACGTGGAACTCTGAGCTACATCATGAGAGTGGCAGACACTGACTACAATCAGTTTGCCATTGTTTACGTGGAGAAGAATGTTATATTCCAGTGGTACTTTGAGAGTACACTCTACGGTTGGTCCTCACTTTATTCTCTTAGGGACCGGGCTCATGGTAACACACAGGGGAGGGATCTGGTAGCCCCTAAAACTTCAAAATCTTCCCCAGTTTGAGACCCTATCAAGGAGGAGGTTTTCCCACAGATTCTCTATTGAAAAAGGGTCCAAGGTCTCGTGCAGTCATTCAGAAGTGTTTATGGAGTGAGTCAGTCATGGCGGTGCATGGCTCTCAACCCAGCACTCAGGAGATAAGGCAGAATAATGAGCTTAATTATACGACTGAGCTCTGTTGTTCATCAGAAAGAACAGTTTGTGCCTTCACTGTCTGATTGATCATTTTTTCATGCATACATCTTGTAATCTGAACCACTTTGAAGATAACAATATGCACTACATTAACTTGTATTAATTTCCCATTGTTTTGTTTTGAAATCCTGTATCATCATTTTTATTCTGTTTCACTTTGTTTTGTTTTTAAGTTAAAAAAGGAATTAAGAGTTTAAGGTCAGTCTGAACTACATAGCAAGACCCTGTCTCATAAACCTTTTTTAAAAAATTAGCAAGTGTTCCTCTTGGCTACTCACCAGTCATCTTGACCACAGGGAGAACCAAGGAGCTGAGCCCTGAGCTGAAGGAGCGCTTCATCAACTTCACCACATCTGTTGGCTTCGCTGAGAACAACATCGTCTTCACTGTCCCTACTAGTAATGACCAGCTGGGGCACACAGAAGGGGGCATAAGATTCTCACCTGATGGTGCCCAATCAAGAAAACTGGATGGGGAGAGTCAATTTCCTGCTCCAGTCCCTGGAGGAGTGATAATGACCAATCAAGGGCTTGTAGCTCCCCAGAGACTCTGACCCCGGTGGTCTCCTGAAAGTTTAGCCAAAGAGAGGCCAGATGACAATTTTAGGCCCACATCCTTGTTTCCCCAGTCTCACTGCCTGGGCCACCTCCTCTCCACACATTGTGTCTTGTTACATTGCCCACCTGCCCGTTCTCTTGGGTCTTTCTCATTCCTGACAAGGGAGATATCCTTAATTTAGGGGACCTAGCCTGGGGAGAGATCCCAGCCAGGTCACTTAGCGGCACTTGCTGAGTGGCTGTATGACTGTGTAGTAAACATGTTGGAGGTCTTAGTTTCAAACCTCTGGGAGACCCAGCCACACTGCGTATCGCCTTCCTGAAGTCAGGGAAGTCTTACATCTACTGCAGCTAAGCCAGGCTAGGCCTGAGGAAGCCAGGGGCAATGAATAGGCCCTGGCAGCCACAGATCACTCACACACACACACACACACACACACACACACACACAAAACTTCCTGCTCTGACATTCTCTCTCCCCACAGAAGAGTGCATCAGTGGCTGAACTGGAAGTGAGTATGAATTGACTGAGAGTTGATGGGAGGTCAGAGCAAGGTGGGTACCTGCCTTGGTACTGGCCTTATTCATCTCCTTCCCCAACCCTGAGGCCCAGTCATCTTTACCGTTACCCTCTCCTCCCTCTCAGGTACCTCCTGTTCTTCCTCCTGTGCTTCACGTCGTCATTTCCCAAGGTACTATCTGGCTGCACATCAGCAAGAATGCCTGTGAGGTAGCTGCAAGACCCTCTTCAGTGTAGCAATGCTCACTCATCACCCCAAAAGACCCCCCCACCCTAGGATCCCCAGTATTATGCTAAATAAACACATGTAACTAGGTCTCTGAGTCTGCACACCTTGTCCCCTAGCCTTCTGTCCCCAGAACCCACCCTGATGTTAGTTTGGCAAGGGATAGAGAAGAGAACTATCTGGAAGGTGAGGACCTACAGGCCAGATGAAACATAGAGAAGTGTTCTCAAAAACCACAGAGAGTGTGAGTCCCTGACTCTAGACTTTCCTAGGAAAGACAAGTGCTTGCATGTGCCTGAGGCTTCTTGAGGCCTATGATAAGCTCAAACAGTGAAGACATGTCTTAGAAAGCATGGGCTTCCTCAACAAAGGAAACTGACTCCAAATCATACTAAATCATCATCTCATTTTCATTTTTGTTTTGCTGCCACTCCACTGTTAGCCTTAGGCACCTTTGTCATCAAAACCCAGCTCCTGATGTAGCAAGGAGCCAAATTCTCATTTCCTTGAACTTCAGTTCTTCATACCTTTCCTGAAAATTTTAGTTAAGATACATAGACCTTTCCCAGAGACCCAAGCAGCAGGGGACATCAGTGCACCACATGGCAAGAAGTGAAGGCCTGCACAACATACTCCACCTAGCCACGCAGCCTTGGTGCGCCACTCGGAACCTGATAGGACTCCACCCAGTGACCACAAGCAGCCAGGGAGGTTCAGTGAACTACGTGGCACAAGCTGAAGGCCTGCACAATGTACTCTACCTAGCCATGCAGTCTTGCTGTGCCACTCAGAACCTGGTAGGACACCATGCAGCAAACTCAAGGAGCTGGGAAGCATGCATGCTCTGTTTGAGTCTTGGTAAGGCCCTGCCCAGCAATCCCAAACAGCTATAGAGCTTTTGTGTTCTGTTTCAGTCTTGGGAGGGCCCCAAGCAGCTGAGGGACTTTAGTGTACCCTGTGACATGAGCTGAAACCCTACATAGCATCCTCATCTAAAAGTGTAGTCTTGGTGCTCCACTCAGAACCTGGTAGGGCCACACCCAGTGGCCCCAATTGGCTAGGGAGTCTTGGCACACGATGTGGGGTATGCTGAAGTTTGCCTAGTGTACTCTACACATTCAGGGAGCCTCTAAGTGCTGCTCAGTACCTCATAAGTCCTGCATAAAGACCCTCACTCCTTTGGGGAAATCCCCTCCAGTACAGACAGCCATGCTCAACCCAAAAACAACTGAGACTTTGCACTCAGTTGCCAATAGGGAATATAGAAAAATGACAAAACAAAAGAGCAAAGTGCAATATCAAACCTCCAGCTCATCCCAAACAAGCCTAGGAGACATGAGCATAGAAATTGTAAGTCAGACTTCCGGGAGAACATGGCGGACAGATAACAGCAACTACTGGAGGCTCTCTGAAAGACTCGGCTCAGAAGCCAGGAATGGTGCGGACTAAGGAGACATAAGCAGGTGGAGATATGCTCTGCTGACTCAGGAACGAACTGGGCTGAGAGAAACCAACTTGGAATGCAGTCCTGGTGCTAAAACAGGAACAGAAAAGCCTCTGTGTGGAGGCTGGACCCCGCGCCATTGTAAGCCGCGATTTGGGTTTCCCGCCGCGCGGCGGCTGGCTGCCTCTACAGTGGCTCGGCAAGGAGAGAGACACGCAGAAGCTCTGAGAACGGCAATCTGCGAATGGCAGGGAGGCGTGCACTGACTTGTGGTGAGGTGAGTGAGAGAAACTGACACTCTACCACAGTTTGACTCCAGCAGAGGACTTTCTGGGCCCAAGCAGTCCTGCGGGAGCAGGGTGTGGTGGCGACTCCAGCCACACATCCCCCTCTCGGGCGGGATTGGTGAAAAGTGCCTGGCCTGCGTGACGCTGCCGGCGGACCTAGTAGGCTGTCCCAACCCAGATCCCAGAGCCTGACGGTGGCCGGGAGGGGAGACGCGTAGGGTGCCTGGTCCGTAACTCCCTGGTGCACAGCGGTGAGCGGGAACACCTAACTGGCGCAATTCGATCAGGCTGTGGCTGACTGGGAGAGAAGCTGGGCCTCTTATATAAGCTTGCATATATAAGGAACAGAGAAGAAGAGGCAGCATGGGAAGAGGCAGCAACAAGAAAGGCTCCTCGGCCCCCAATTCTGAGAAACAGGCAATAGCAGACACCGCACCAATACACATAAGGCGCCATATAGAGAGCCTCATAGACCAATTCAGGAATGAAGTTATCAACGACCTGAAACTAGAAGTATGCAGAATAGTTAGAGAAATGCTAAGTACCACCCAAGAAAAAACAGGTGGTGGAATGGAAGAACAGAAAAAAAGGGGAGAATTGTTTGATGGAGAAAACAGAGAAAGCATAGAATACGTGAAGCAGGTTCAAAGGGACTACCAAGATACTAAGAAGTCTATCGAAGACTGGCATAACAGCTTGAAAGAAACTAAGGACAGACTATCTGAACTGGAGGGCAGACTTGTAATATGGGAGAATAAAATGAAAAACTTCTTAAAAATAACAAAGAAACAAACAGCAATAATACAAAGACAAGAAGATGATAAGAGGAGCCATAACTTAAGGATTAAGAACATAAAAGAAGAAGTAGGGACACAAACAAGTGAACTACAAAAGCTACTCACAGAAATAATCCAGGAGAATTTTCCTAATTTAGCAAAAGGTAAAGATACTCAGATGTATGAGGCATACAGGACCCCAGCTACCTACAACCCAAACAGAGCTACACCCAGGCATATAATAATAAAAATTCCAGAAATTCAATACAAGAACAGAATATTAAAAGCTGTAAGAGACAAGAAACAGACCACTTACAAGGGAACACCCATCAGAATTACAGCAGATTTCTCTGCACAAACCATCAAATCACGAAGAGCGTGGGGGGAAATAATTCAAGCTTTGAAAGATAATAATCTCCAGCCAAGATTGAGATATCCTGCACAACTGTCCCTGGAAATTGATGGAAAAACAAGGTGCTTCCAGGATAAAGAGGAACTGGGGGAATTTGGAACCACCAATTCAACTCTACAGAGAGTATTGCAGGATATTCTAAAAAAAGAAAAATACAAAGAATCCAGAAATAATGGCAGAGAGGCCACAACGAATGGAGCAGAGAACAAAATGAAGAAGACAAGCTGACAGCTACTGGCAGAAAAAGAGCTCAACAGAAATGAGGTAGAGAAGATTAGATGATAGGAACAGCTATTGTGGAGAAAATGACATCTTAATAGGTAATACTGATTTAGTATCATCTTGTTTTGAAGTCTCATCTAGCTTTTGTTCTTCTGTCTCCAATGGTCTAAATAGGCTGTATCTTATTGGATTCTATTATGTACGATAGTATAAGCAAAAACCTTTTAAAGACAAGGAGATTATACAGAAACCATTGTTCAATTTCTGTTAGTCGATTCTAAATACTCTGTAATGCTGTCATTCTCTTGAACGGTTTTACATTGTTTTGATATACTTAATGCTACAGTATACGAAGTTGTACTCAAGGATTTCAAAGAAAGAGACAATATGGTAACTACTTTTAGGTTAGGATTATCTGGTGGTGAAACACTATTCTGCTTAAATGGTTATGTTTTGATCTGCGCTGTTTCGTTGTTATGTCCTCTTTTATCTCAACCTCCACTCCATTATTTACTTTTTTATCTTTATCCTTTTAATTAAAGGGAAAAAAATAGCAGGATATATTATAGTAACCCACTTTGACTTTTCATTACCTTGATTTAAAGCCCTGTATTACTCTCACCATCTGGTTTTTAACTGATGTTCCCCTATTCTGTTTTGCTGGATAGTATCAGGTTCGAAAGTTTAGGCATCAGCTGTGAAGATAATGAGATTCATTATGACGCCCATTCTTGTTGACTTTTATCTACTTTTGAAGACCTACAATGTCTCCAGTGTTTTGGTTTTGTCGGTTTTGTTCTTTACTGTTTTGTTCAATTGTATTATAACTAACGATATAGGCAATTCTATTAGAGATAGCGGGAAGCATTATGGTAACCATTGTTGATCACCTTGTATTATGTTTTTATATTATCTATTATGTCCACCCTTTTGACTTGACCGATTCTGTTCTGTTATGTCACATTTGGTTTTACTCTCTTCCAAAAAAGCAATAAGAACCGTGGGAGCAATGAAACCCAAAATGTGTAATAGTCATGGTACAAAAGAGAGGAAAAGAAAGTGCTCCAAACTATATAACTGCATGTATATTTAAGTGTATAAGATAGAAA